CCCTCCCTCCCCCACTCCCCGTGGCGCGAGCGGCTGACTGAGCCTGAAGAGGAAACGGCACTCGTAGCCGCGCTCCCGCCCAGGCCGGCCCCGACGCGGGCCTCGTCAGCCGGTAACGGGGAGCAGAGGTGGGGGTCAAAGAGGCGACCACGACATCGGTGAAGGTCACACCCGACAGCCGTCCTCCGAGGAGGGTGAGGGAAGGGTCTGAGCCTCCCCACGCCCCAGACTCCGCAGAGCCTTGGCTGGGTCGACCCCTCCCAGGGGCGGGGTCGCGCTGGGCAACTGCAGCCCCGGGGACTGACAGGGCGGGGCGCGCCAAGGAAGGAGGAGACAGGTCAGCTCTGGGCGGGGGACACCCGGAGGCCGGCAGCAGGGTCGTGGAGCTGAGGCCGGGGGTGGGGTCCTGGAGCCGGGACTCCCGTGACGGGCGGGGGAAGCCCCCGAACCGGTCGGTCCCTTCCGCCTCTCCTTTGGACCCGGACTGGAGGCCGGCGGCGGGCGGGGGGGTGGGGGTAAAGGGAGGGAGAGCGGCGCGAGGGGGCGGGTCTCGGCCTTGCTCCACGCTGATTGGCTGAGCGCGTGTGGAATCGGGTGATGAGAAACGCAGCCCGCTTTTCTGTTCCCTCCGGCTCTGCTCCCTCCTCCCGTGGCGAATGTGCTGCGCGGCGGCGGGTGCTTACGTTCGCGGGGTTTGGCTGTTGCAGGCAGAAGCTGGGAGGAGGCGGCAGCGGCAGCGGCAGGAGCAGCAGCGGCGGCGGCGGCAGCAGCAGCTGGGAGGAGGTGGTGACGGTGGCAACGGCAGCGTCGGGGACGATGGCGCGACTGGTGGCAGTGTGCAGGGACGGGGAGGAGGAGTTCCCCTTCGAGAGGCGGCAGATTCCCCTCTACATAGACGACACCCTCACGGTGAGCGGGCCGGGCCGGGCTGGGCCCGCCGCTCCCCTGGCAGCTGTTTCCCCTCCTCCCCCTCCCCCAGGCCGAGCGCTGCGCACTGGAGAAAGAGTGTGTTGCAACTCTTAGGCGAGGCCTTCTCTCCGGCAGGCCCCGCGAACTCGCCTTTGCAGGGCTTAGTCGGTAACCTCTGTCTGCTCCGAGCCCAAGCCTCGCACACGCACTCCTCTTTCCCCAAATTTTCCTTACCTTTTGAACCTCCTTCCTTTACCCTCTTTCCTTAGGAGATGCTATTTTTGCCAAAGCACGCGCCTCTAAGAGGGCTTGAAGGATCTTGGGCGTTTAAGGCCTATGCCTTACAGAAACCACGTACCCTCGAGGAGGCTTAATTACCTGGAAATGTCGCAGCTGCACTGTTACCTGTATATATTCTATTTTAATACTGTAGCTCTCACTGCATAAGCGTAATTACTGAGAGCAGAGTGACATGCTCTTCCACAGTAAAGATTCCACTAAAAATATTTGATTTCATTGTATATGGTCTCGTATTGGCTAGTACATTACAACTCTTGAAATGATTGTATTGCTAGGCCATGACTCTTCAAAACGGGCTTTCTTGGCTTTAGTTATTCCTTAGTTTACAGGTAGCTTTTTTTTCTTTTTTTTTTAAATAAGGAAGCCAAATTATCGAATATATAAGAGTTCTGTAAAAAGCTGATTGCTCATCCTGAGTCAAAACTCAGTTCTGGATACTTTTCCTTTTTAGAGTTGGTGATAGTATAGCATTACAGACCCTCTGTCCTGTGCTGCTATACTATTTCCTTTAAAAGGAAATGGCTGAAATTTGAATTGAATCTGAACAGGAAATGAGTGCAGTTGCTTGCCACTGTTTCTTAAGAATTTAATTGAACCTTTTCTCATTATCTTTTGAAATCTGCATTTTGATGATGCTGAAGCTTTGGATTATACGTTTGGTGATTTTGCTAAGATACAGCTAAGTCTTTTCATCTTATCACCTTTGGCTTTTTCTTTTCCATTCCAAGGCAGTTAATCGATTTTGTTCCTAAATTTTTTTTGCAAATATCTACTGAAATTTTTTCAAATTTTTTATAAACTGCAAGTCATTGTAGAGATGCCAGTGTATGCCTTTCTGTTTCCCAGTCTCAATTAAGATCTGATTGAGCTGCAGTACTTTGAAAAGGATTAGAAAAGCTATTAAATGACTTCATTTATTAGAACTTTTAAAGTGACAGCATCTATAATAATCCAAGTGCATTTTTTTCATGGAGAAAGGTAGAATAATTTCGTCTGATATAAAGAGTTTATGCATTAGACTGGAGTGCAGTAGCACGCTCCCGGCCACCGCAGCCTCGACCTGCTGGGCTCCGGCAATCCTTCTGCCTCAGCCTTCCAAGTAGTTGGAACTACAGGCACGCGCTACCACGCCCAGCTGATTTTTTTTTTGGGGGGGGGATTTATTGTAGAGATGAGGTCTTGCCAAGTTGCCCAGGTGGGACTTGAACCCGTAGGTTCAGGCAATTCACTCACCTCGGCCTCCCAAAGCACGGGGTTATATGGGCTGAGCCACCGAGCCTGGCCGGACTTACATCTTAAATAGTTAAAACTAGCACTCTTATCAAATTAAATGATGCATGTCTCAGTGTGAATTCAGTGTGAATACGAATTCATTTGTTACTTTCTTCTTTCCCTTGCCAACATAAACACTTTCCTAAAGCCCATAGTTTGATACCAACTTTTAGGTTTATTCTCCCAGAATGGCTTTGAGGTTAAAAAAAAAAATTTCAGTGGGTTTGGATATAAGATTTACAAAATTTTAAAAGACACTTACTGATGGCCGGGCTCGGTGGCTCAGCCTGTAATCCCGCGCCTTTGGGAGGCTGAGGTGAGTGGATTGCCTGAGCCCGCGGGTTTGAGACCCACCTGGACAGGCGAGACCTCATCTCTACAATAAATCAAAAAATTAGCCGGGCATGGTAGCGCGCACCTATAATTCCGGCTACGCGGAAGGCAGAGGCGGAAGGATCGCTGGAGCCCAGCAGGTTGAGGCTGCGGTGGCCGGGAGCGGCCATTGCACTCCAGTCTGGGTGACAGAGTGAGACTCCAACTCAAAAAAAAAAAAAAGACACTTACTGATTATCTGTATATTCACATAATCATCTTTGATGTGAATATAGCACGTTAATACATCAGTCATACAGCACTTTAAAATGGCCAGCTTGTTAGGTGTTTTAGTACTGTATTCTCTCCACAATGATGTGAATTTCCAAAATTTTTCCATCAAAAAAGATTTAATCTTGCACTGTGGTTTAGTATGGCACTTATTTTGCGCTGTACCTGGTGGTTGAATTTTGTTTTTATTGTACTCTGAACTTGTGACTAAGGCAAATAAAATTTAAGCTTACTTAATTTAATGATCAAAATAGCATTTTATTTAGGAAAAGGTGCAGCTTTTCTTTGCATCAGAATGGGTTTTTATTACTAGGGAATGATGAGACATTTTATTACTTTGTGTTAGAATTTATGCACAGTTACTGAATGCTATTAGTGAATGAATGTTAGTGAGAATTCTTGTCAAGGACATACCTAGAGAAACAAGTATCTTACAGAATCATTCTACTAAATACTACTTAAAGGGCAATTATAGAGCAAAACACTTGTTAGAAGAGAAGAGGGAAGGGAAAAGAAGATGCCTATAGAGGAGGTTTGTGTTTTTTATGGGTCTGTTGATAGTCTGTAATTCACTGAGGAAACATTGTGTGATCTTTAGTTCAAGTAATAGTCTTAGAATCTTGTAAGCAGCTAAATGTTGCAGTATAGTTACAGTGTTTACAGTTCACAGTCAGTTACAAATTTTATCATTTTAGTAAAAGATACTGAAACCTCTAACCATAATTAAACTGGCGATTTTATCTTGGATGTGTAAGTGAAATTAAGAAACTTGCATGTGCGGCGGGGCTTGGTGGCTCAGCCTGTAAACCCGCGCCTTGGGAGGCCAAGGTGAGTGAATTGCCTGAGCCCACGGGTTTGAGACCCACCTGGGCAACTTGGCGAGACCTCATCTCCACAATAAATCAAAAAAAAAAAAAAAAATAAATCAGCTGGGCGTGGTAGCGCGCGCCTGTAGTTCCAGCTACTTGGAAGGCTGAGGCGGAAGGAGCGCCAGAGCCCAGCAGGTCGAGGCTGCGGTGGCCGGGAGCATACCACTGCACTCCAGTCTGGGTGACAGAGTGAGACTCCAAAAAGAAAAAGAAAGAAACTTGCATGTGAAGAAGTAGCTTCCTCCTTTCTGTGATAAGTTGTGTCCATGTTTAAAAGGTTTATATGGTTGTTTAGTATGTTTTAACACCTGAATACAGGGCTGATGTAGGTGTATTTGAGAAAATCCCAAATAAGTAAGCTGGTGGAATATTTAGGTGTTACTCTACATGACCAAAATCCTGTCCTGTGTTGTTTTAATTATAAAATAGCAGAATAGATTTTACTTTGAGACATCTTTGAAAAATAAGCAAGTAGTTTTTTAAAAGAACAGAATAAAAACATAAAATCTTGAAAAATAACTACAAAACAAAGCAAAATAAATTATCCTTAATTATACTTTCAGAGATTAGCAAAGTTTGGTGTAATTCCAGTCAGAGACATTCATAGGTGCAGAGTTCATATATTGTCTTCTGTAACATTTTATATCCTTCTTTTTTCACTAAATGTAATATTGATAGCATTTTTTCTTAATCATTCTTAAACATCTTTAATGACTGTAATATTTTGTTGTATGATGTGCCATAATTTAATAATCTTTCATTGGTGGACATAGAGGTGGTTCTAGTTTTTGCTGTGAATAAACTATAAGTGTGGGAGCGGTTGCTCATACCTGTAATCCCAGCACTTTGGGAAGCAGAGGTGAGAGGATTGCCTGATCTCAGGGGTTTAAGACCAGCCTGGGCAACTGGCGAAACCTCATCTCTACAATAAATCAAAAAATTAGCTGGGCATGGTGGGCACCTGGAAGACTGAGGTGGAAGATTGCCCGAGCTCAGCAGGTTGAGGCTGCGGTGGCCGAAAGCATGCCACTGCACTCTAGCCTGGGCAAGAGAGTGAGATTCCAACTGAAAAAAAAAAAAGACTATAAGAATATAAATAGTGAGCCGGGCTCGGTGGCTCAGCCTGTAATCCCGCGCCTTTGGGAGGCTGAGGTGAGTGGATTGCCTGAGCCTGTGGGTTCGAGACCTGCCTGGGCAGCGAGACCTCATCTCTACAATAAATCAAAAAATCAGCTGGGCGTGGTAGCGCATGCCTGTAATTCCGGCTACTTGGAAGGCTGAGGTGGAAGGATTGCCGGAGCCCAGCAGATCGAGGCTGCGGTGGCCGGGAGCGGCCACTGCGCTCCAGTCTGGGCGACAGTGAGACTCCAACTCAAAAAAAAGGAATATAAATAGTGAACAAATCTTTACATTAAAATGTTTTCTCAGGCTTTTAGAAGTGCAATTACTGGATCAAAGCTTAAGAACCTGTTATAAAGTTTTTGGCACATATTGTCAAATTGCTACACTATTTTTGGAACAATTTACCTTCTTAATACAAACCAATCTAAATGGACTAGAACCTCTGAAAAGAGTTTTTAGACTTCAGAAGATAATGGTAGCAGGCTGGGCATGGTGGCTCAAACCTGTAATCCGAGCACTTTGGGAGGCCAAGGCGAGAGGATTGCCTGAGCCCACAATTTCAAGACCAGCCTGGGCAACATGGTGAGACCTCATCTCTACAATAAAAAAAAAGAAAAATTAGCCGGGTGTGGTAGCACGCGCCTGTAGTTCCAGCTACTTGGAAGGCTGAAGCGGAATTGATCACCGGAGCCCAAGAGGTGGATGCTGGGATGGCCATGAGTGTGCCACTGCGCTCCAGCCTGGGTGACGGAGTGAGACTCCACCTCAAAAAAAAAAAAAAAAGAAAAAAGGACGAAGATAATGGTAGCATATCTGCTTGGGGATTTGGAGTTTAGCATTTGTTGAAGTTTAGCATTTAATGTTTCTATCAACTCTTGATTTAACATTTACTTTTACCAAGGGTGGTAGATGTTACAAAGAGCTGTGTGGATAAAGTAAAAGAATAAAAAAGTGATAGTGATTTTGATATGTACAAACTTGGTATCGTTGGTTAGAACTTGTGAGAATGAGCTAAAAACTGATTTGTGTGTGTGTGTGTGTGGTCAGGAGAAACCACGATAGAGACTTAAAGAGTGAAAGTGGATAATGGATTCAATAAATTTTGTAAAGCAATAATTGCAGCACAATGACTTGTTCTAATTTTGGCAAGCTATTGATAGGCAACTTCAGTATGAAGCTGAATGTTAGTGATTCCTCTGTGAAACCACACCTGAAATACTTTTCAGGCCACTCTTCCTTCAGGTAACCTAGAATCTGAAGATAAGTCAAGGAAGTGGTTTTAAAGAATGGGGTGGGGAATAGTGCCACAAGCCTCCTTGCATTCTTCCCCTTTTTCTTATTTTCATCTCTTAAAACATTAAACACCATATAATAATGTGCCAGAAAACAGGTAAAACGTAAGCCATTGTCCTCAGTGTTTGAAAGGCCAGGACAGTAATTATTTAGTGTTAGTGTTCTCTAGGCAGGGTAATATGGAGTAAATACAAGAGAAAATTTAGTCTTAGTTAACCTGATGAAACCTGGGAAAGATACCGAAATAGATTAGATCTTCACATTTTCTATACTAGTTAGATAAAAGTGAGATGATCTGAGATGAGTTGTTTGTTTTTTAAAAGTCTTAACCCTGTTGCTTATTGACTTTTTAAAAAGAGCTCCCAAAGCAGGTATTATGCATGATTTTTACAAATAAACTGGTAGGTTTCAGTGTGTTAGATGTGTTCTTTGACTTCTGCCCTAATTTTAATTGTTTTCTTTTGCTTTAATTTTGTTTATTTATTTATTTACTTATTTTTGAGTCGGAGTCTCACTCTGCCTCCTAGGCTGGAGTGCAGTGGCACGCTCACAGTCACAGCAGCCTTGACCTGCTGGGCTCAGGCTATCCTTCTGCCTCCCAAGTAGCTGGAACTATAGATGCATACCACCCTGCCCACCTAATTTTTTAAAAATTTCTTGTAGAGGCAAGGTCTCACCAAGTTGCCTAGACTAGTCTCTGACCCCTGGGCTTTTAGGTAGTCCTCTCGCTTTGCCTCCCAAGTGCTGGTATTACAGGCAACAGCCATTGTGCCTGGCCGCTTTAATTTTTAAAACAGTTGATCAGAATAAAAATAATCAAAATTTAGGATTTCATGTGAGAACCATCCTAGAGAGACTTTGATTTGGTTAAATAAGGAATATTTTTTAAATGTTTCTTAAATTGATAGCCTTAATCTTAAGACATTATAAGTAATTGTCTTAATTTTTTTCTTTTTTTAAATTGTGGTTATTGGTATATAGTAAAAGTATATTTCTATCAAACAAATGAAAATGCAAATCAAGGTGTTTGCTGCTTAAATGGTAGGACTGGAGTGGGCCCACAGTGTTATGTTGAGTTACGTGGTTCAAAAAGTATCCTACACCTTTTTAATGACTTGACAATTAAATTTCTTTGTGTCTTAAACCCTTTGATGATTCCAGAAAACATAATGTGAATTAACTGAACTATTAACTATTTTAATTCTTTCTCAATTTTTGGGCCAGGATTTCTAATACTAGGTTTATTGTTATTATTTTTTAGTTTGCGTAGACTGTATTAATTACAATAAATACAGTGGGACATTATGAATCATTAGATATTTTGCCTATTTCAGTCATCCTCACCAGATCATTTGTAGCTACAGCATTAAAGTAGACTAGTGACTTTAGTTTTTTTGTTTATTTTTTTAGTAGTGGTCTCACTCTGTTGCCTAGGCTGGAGTGCGGTGGCATAATCATAGCTCACTGCAGCCTCAATTTCTCAGGCAGTCCTTCCACCTCAGCCTCCCGAGAAGCTGGGACCACAGGTATGCACCACCACACCTGGCTTATTTTTTAATTTTTATAGAGATGAGGTCTTGCTGTGTTGTCTAGAACTCCTTGACTCAAATGATCCTCCCACCATGACCCTCCAAAGTACTGGGATTACTGGTGTGAGCCATCATGCCTAGTCTTTTTTTTTTGAGTTGGAGTCTCACTCTGTCACCCAGACTGGAGTGCAGTGGCCGCTCCCGGCCACCGCAGCCTCGACCTGCTGGGCTCCGGTGCTCCTTCTGCCTCAGCCTTCCAGGTAGCTGGAACTACAGGCGCGCGCTACTACACCCGCTAATTTTTGATTTATTGTAGAGATGAGGTCTCGCCAAGTTGCCCAGGCGGGTCTTGAACCCGCGGGCTCAGGCAGTCCACTTACCTCAGCCTCCCAAAGGCACGGGATTACAGGCTGAGCCACCGAGCCCGGCTCCATGCCCAGTCTTGACTTTAGTTTAGCTTTGTACTGTTGGTAAAGTTAATATATGAAAGTGCTTATAACAATTCCTAGTATGTGTAAAGTGTTTTCTTATATAATATCATCACCTTTTGGAGAGATCAATAAGATGACTGAGAAGGGAAACTATAAACCAGATATCAGGGTCAGTAAACCTAAAAATTGGATAATTGATTCTTGAACCTATGAGATTTGGACATTTCATCTATACATATGAAGAAGAAACTTCCAAATCAGGAAAAGCTATTGAGATGGAAGCATGTCTTTAAACGTGGTGTAATGAATATAGAATTAGAAGCAAGGAACTTTAACTCTCCCTCCCCCCCCCAATAACAAATTGTATGTGTGCATTGTAATAACTTTGGGAAATATAGTAAAGAAAAGTCATCTGTCATCCCACTACCTAGAGATAGCCACATCTAATATATTATGTATTTTCTTTTTTTGTAAGATAAAATATGTACTTATAAAAATTTGCATCATATTGTACATGCAGTTTTTGCTTCTGTGAAATGCAGTGAAGTGCTCTGGATTGTTAAGTTGGTGTTTGCATCATTGTCTGTACCCATAGTATTTCTCCTTTGTCAAATCAAGAAAAGATCTTGGATCTATTGCTTACACTTGGCTTTGGTTGTTAATGAGGCCTCAGTTTATTATTAGAAGAATCATCTTTTAAATCTGTCTAATGGGGAGGGAAAGGAGTGATCACATCCTTTATAGAAGCAAGTCTTTGTGGTGCTGGTTGGGGAAGGGAGGGATCTTTTTAAGATCACATTCAACTATGTAGAGATTTTTTGGTTTTTGTTTTTGCTTTAGATGAGTCTCTGTCCTGACTTTACTCTTTGGGTATGTAGGCATTTGTGGCCCTTGTTATGTGGAAATAGTTTGTCTTAGTGTACTATATGTTTGATATCTTTAACAATGTTTTAATTAAGATATATGTAAGATATGTGTAACTTTCATTGTTTTAGAGGCATACTTTTTTCCCCACATTTTAACATCTCTGAAATTGGAATGTTTCTTTAAGTTGATGACATCTTACAGTTAAAATAGCTCTTTTCTTAGTGATACATAACTATGCTACTACTTAAAATCTTTTGGTGGTGACAGATCAGTAAAATGTGCTAACTATAAATTCCTGCCAGGCGCGGTGGCTCACACCTGTAATGCCAGCACTTTTGGAGGCAAAGGCGAGAGGATTGCCTGAGCCCAGGGGTTTGAGACCAGTCTGGATAACTTGGAAAGACCTCATCTCCATACTAGATCAAATAATTAACCAGGTGTGGTGGCATATTCCTATGATTCCAGCTACTTGGAAGACTGAGACAGAAGGATTGCCTGAGCCCTGCAGGTTGAGGCTGCAGTGGTGATGAGCATGCCACTGTATTCCGGCCTGGATGATAGAGTGAGACTCTGACTCAAAAAACAACAGCAGATTCTCATTATGTGACATACTGAAGCATCCTTAAGTTTCATATTCCTCTTCCTCTGGTAGTGCATTTTGATCATTGAAAATCTCAGTGTGCTCTTTTTGTTCCTAAGTAGAGCAGGCATTTACTATGTGTCAGGTACTGTTCTAAGATATATAGATATATACATATATAGATATTTTTAGAACAGTTATAAGATTATATTTCATAGTTAAGAGGAGTAACTAAAAATACTAGGTTATTTCATTTATTAATTAATTACTGGCCACTGCAATGAATCCTTTAAAGTATAATTTAATCTTTGCAGTAACAGTGTGTTATATATATTATAAATTATTGATTTCTTTTTTTTTTTTTTTTTTTTGAGTTGGAGTCTCTCTCTGTCACCCAGACTGGAGTGCAGTGGCCGCTCCTGGTCACTGCAGCCTCGACCTGCTGGGCCCCAGTGATCCTTCCGCCTCAGCCTTCTAAGTAGCTGGAACTACAGGCGTGTGCTACCATGCCCAGCTGATTTTTGATTTATTGTAGAGATGAGGTCTCGCCAGGCTGCCCAGGTGGGTCTCGAACCCGTGGGCTTAGGCAATCCACTCATCTCGGCCTCCCAAAGTGCGGGATTACAGGCTGAGCCACCAAGCCCCGCCAATTATTGATTTCATTTTACAAATGAGAAAATTGATAATCAGACAGGCTAAGTAACTTGTCTAGAGTTATGACATAGACTGTAAGTGGCAGAGCTTGTGTTTGAACTGCCTGACTTCAGTATCCTTGCTCCTAATGACTGTACCATTCTGACTTTAGAAACTTGTATGCTTGAATTTTTTTCTTTTTAATTTTTTTTGGGGGGAGGGGGCAAATCTGTCTTTTAGGGAGCTATTTCTATCCTATCTATGAGTTTATACAATAGGCTTTATAATGTGCTTAGAGGGGATAAAATAATTGATTTCTTTTCTGTTTATATTTTAAGATGGTGATGGAATTTCCTGACAATGTGTTAAATCTTGATGGGCATCAAAATAATGGTGCACAGCTAAAGCAGTTCATTCAGGTAATAGTTTTTTAATCATTGTTTTTAGTGGTGTGCATATGTTTTAAAGAGTCATTTAAATTTTAGCTGTATTGTGTTTTACCTAGGGTTCCCTAGGTGTTAATATTGCACTGAAATTGCTTTTTTTTTTAACCATTGCTGTAGTAAATATATGTAGTTATGTACCTGATTTATGTACCTATTATGTAAAAGAGAATTGGTGGTATTGTGTTAATATTTTACATGTCCATAGGGCTCTCATTTTACCAGGTGATCTTTCCCTGTTATTTATTTATTTATTTAGCCTGGCTAGTCTTTTTTTTTTTTTTTACTTATTGTAGAGATTAGGTCTCATCAAGTTGCCCAGGCTTGTCATGAATCCTTGGACTCAGACAATCCTCTCGTTTTGGGCTCCCATAGTGCTGGGATTACAGGCTTGAGCCACTTCTTCCCGCCTTTCCCTATTTTTTGAAGATAGGTTATACAGCTTTTCATTAAGGACTTGTTGGTTTTCTGCTATAGTAATTGTTTTGTTGAGTACAAACAAATTAATCTTATATTATGAACTTTCTCATTGTTATTTAATTTTTGAGAAATAGCATAATACTTTATAAATACACTTAATATCACTATACAGTCATTCCTCAGTATCTGTGGAGGATTGGTTCCAGGACCCCTACAGAAACCAAAATTCGTAATATGTAAGTCCCTGATATAAAATGATACAGGATTTGCATATAGCCTATGTACATCTTCCTATATACTTTAAAGCATCTTTAGATTACTTATAGTACCTAGCACAGTGTAAATGCTATGTAAGTAATTGTTGTATTGTTTGGGGACTAATGACAAAAAAAGTTCACATGTTTAGTACAGACACAACCACCCTTTTTTTCCTCCTAGTCTTTGACCCTCAGTTGGTGGAATCCACAGATATGGAACCCTTGGATATGGAAGGCTGACTATAATTAAGATATTGGAAGATAACTTGTTAGTTTATTTCCAGATTCTTCTACTTTTAGGGAAAACTTTGAAAGGTTAATGGTAAATGGGAGAAAATGCTTCTTGGGAATTATCCTACTTTCCCAAAGTTTTTGGTAAATCTGAAAGTGTTAATTGTAGTGCAGGGCCAGGCATGGTGGCTCATATCTGTAATCCCAGCATTTTGGGAGGCTGAGGAGGGAGGGTTCCTTGAGGCCAAAAGTTTGAGACCAGCCTAGACAACATTGTGAGACCCTGTTTCTACAAAAAAATAAATAGATAAATTATCTGGGCATGGTGGCTTGTGACCATAGTCCTAGCTACTCAGAATGTTGAGGCAGAAGAATTGCTTGAGCCCAGGAGTTCTGGTTGCAATGCACTCCAGTCTGGGCAGCAGTGAAGCTCTGTCTAAAAAAAATTTGTAGTGTAACTATAACTCTATCAAGTAGAAGTTACTTACTAGAGTTTTGCTCTTTTCTTTAGTAGTTCTCAGTCATTTTTCTACCTTGTCATTACCAACAGATAACATTCATATGCCCCAGCATTGTTAGTTACTCTCTGCAGGCTCCTATATAGGTAAGATAGGCCTTGGTCTCTTCTGCTAATCCATACCTCTGGATTGACAATTTCTGCTCTACATGGTCACCTTCCTAACTTGACTCCTATAGCTAAATGTCGTGTGTTAACAACTGAAAAAGAGACACAGTAAAGCTGCATTGTCTTTATTTTTTTCTTTCTTTCCTACTTATTTTTTTTAAGTGAGAGTACTAGGCTTAATACTCATTGAACCAGTTCTGCATTTCTAGATGCAGGGCTTCTTTTTGCTATGCTGGGGCACATACTGCTTAGCTCTGGAATACTAAGTAAGGTTTTTTTATACCTTAGATTCTAAAACAGGGGAATTTGTGCAGCAAACTCACAGTGGCGTGAACAAGGCTGCCTTCCTTGCCTTTATGACTCAGTTGCAGATAGAGGTGGCAAGTCCTGCCTAGGTTGTATTTACTGCACAAGGCTATATAGGAACCAATAATGATGAAAGCGTAACTTTATGTCTTTTTAAAGGACTCTTCTTCATTTTATTTTCCTCTTTCTCTCAGCGACATAGTATGCTTAAGCAACAAGATCTTAGCATTGCCATGGTGGTGACATCACGTGAAGTCTTGAGCGCACTTTCTCAGCTCGTCCCATGTGTTGGTTGTCGTCGCAGTGTGGAGCGCCTCTTTTCCCAGCTTGTGGAGTCTGGAAATCCTGCCCTTGAACCTCTGACAGTAGGACCCAAGGGAGTCCTGTCTGTAACTCGAAGCTGCATGACTGATGCAAAGAAGCTTTATACATTATTTTATGTACATGGGTAAGTATAATTAATCAGTTAGGAGAAAATGGGTTTGTTAAAGTGTTAAACAACTTGGTGACAGTGGTAGCTTTTCTTATAAATTTGGTTGGTGAAAAGATTGAGTTTAACTCAGCAATTTTATTGAGCAATGTCTGTATACTAGTGAATGTAAAGTTTCTGTTCTCATGTGGGGAGAGGCAGATTCTAAGCAAATATATAATTTGTCAGGTATGATAAGTTACAAAGAAAAACCAGTAAGGAGGATAGAGAAGGGAAGTAGAATTAATATGAAGGGTGATCAGGGAAGGCCTCTCTGATAAGATGAATACAGACTTGAATGAAGTGAGTGAACAAATCATGTAGATAACTGGGGCAAGGCAGAGAAGGAAGAGCAGGTGTAAAGGTTCAGAGGCTGTGGTTTTATTGGCATGTTTGAGGAATAGCAAGGAAGCCGTTGTGGCTGGAGCCAGTTGAAAGAAGGGAACAGTAATAAAAGAAAATGTCAGAAGAGTAATAAAAGGTCCATTCATATAGTGCCTTCCTTGTCGGTTGTTCTGAGGTCATTTGTTTTTACCCTGAATGAGGTGAAAAGCTTTGGGAAGGTTTTGAGCAGATGAGTGACACTGAGCTTACTTTGACCTCTATATTGAGAATGGTGGTGGCTGTGGAGATAGTGAGAAGTGGTAGGATGCTGGATGTATTTTGAGGAATGAGCTGGCATGATTTTTTTTTTGAGTTAGAGTCTCACTCTGTCACCCGGACTGGAGTGCAGTGGCTGCTCCCGGCTACCACAGCCTTGACTTGCTGGGCTCCAGCGATCCTTTCGCCTCAACCTTCCAAGTAGCTGGAACTACAGGCGTGCGCAACCACGCCCGGCTAATTTTTGATTTATTGTAGAGATGAGGTCTCACCAAGTTGCCCAGGCGGGTCTCGAACCCGCGGGCTCAGGCAGTCCACTCACCTCGGCCTCCCAAAGCACGGGATTACAGGCTGAGCCACCGAGCCCAGCTGGCATGATTTTTCAATAGCTTGGTTGTGAGGGAGAGCATCAAGATGAGTTTTAGATCTGTGGTCTAAAGAACAGACAGATGGTTTTCGTTTACTGAGATGGGCAATACTGAGAGAAGTAATTTTTTAGAGCTCACTTTTGGATATGTTAACCTTGAAATACCAATTGAATGTCCAAGTAGAGTTCAAAAGTCTGGTTTAAGCTGGGCTCGGTGGTTCAACCTGTAATCCCACACTTTGGGAGGCCGAGGTGAGTGGATTGCCTGAGCCCACGGGTTCGAGACCCACCTGGGTAACTTGGCAAGACCTCATCTCTACAATAAATCAAAAAATTAGCCGGACTTGGTAGCGTGTGCCTGTAATTCCAGCTACTTGGAATGCTGAGGCAGAAGGATCGCTGGAGCCCAGCAGGTCGAGGCTGCAGTGGCTGGGAGTATGCCACTGCACTCCAGTCTGGGCGACAGAGTTAGACTTCAACTCAAAAAGAAGAGTCTGGTTTAGAGCATATATTTGTGTCGTTTGGAGAATATTAGCAGGAAAAGAAGAAGAGGTCTAGACGTTAAACCTTGAGGTTTTCCTATTTAGAGATTTTTTTTACTCCACCTGAGAAAAAAAGCCTTGGAGCGTTTTGAACAGAGGAATAGCGTAATCTAATTTGTATTTTGAAAACATCATTCTAGCTATTGAGTGAAGCCTAGAATGTAAAGGGCAGCTGGAGGCAGGAAGGAGACTGTTTGACAGGCCGCTATTCCAGTTGACTAGAGGTTGGTAGGTTGAATAAGGATGATAATGACTCAGGTGATAAGAAGTGATTTGATTCTAGATTGATTGATTTTTTTTTTTTTTTTTTTTTTTGAGTAAGGGTCTCACTCTGTCACCCAGCCTGGAGTGCAGTGGCTCGCAGCTCATGGCCACCGCAGCCTCGACCTGCTGGGCTTAGGCAGTCCTTCCACCTCAGCCTTCCAGGTAGCTGGAGCTACAGGTGCACGCTACCGTGCCTGGCTGATTTTTTGATTTATTGTAGAGACGAGGTCTTACCAAGTTACCCAGGCTGATCCTGAACCCCTGAGCTTAGGCAATCCTGTTGCCTTGGCCTCCCATAGTACTGTGATTACAGGTTTGAGCCACTGCGCCCGGATGTTTTTTTTTTTTAGACAGGGTCTCACTCTGTCACCCAGGCTAGAGTGCAGTGGTGCAGTTATAGAGTCATAGTTTGCTTAAGTCTTGACTTCCTAGGCTCAAGTGATTCTTCCACCTCAGCCACCCAAGTGGCTAGCGCTACAGGCACATGCCACCACAACCGGCTAATTTTTTAAATTTTTGTATAGACGGGGTCTTGATATGTTGCCCAGGCTGGTGTCAAACTCCTGGCCTTAAACAATCCTCCTGCCTTGGCCTCCCAAAGTGCTGGATTACAGGTATGAACCACTGCACTTGGCCTGATTCTAGATATATTTAGAAGTTAGAGTTGATAGGCTTTGCTCATTGGTTAGATGAAGGGTATGGATAATATCAGTACATATTCTGTATTTGCATAAAATATCTGTTGATGGTTCCTCTTCAAGGATATTTTGCATTTACATAACGTTCTGTGGGTTTTTTTGTTATTTTTATTATTTTTTTAGGGATAGGGTTTTATTCTGTTGCCCAGGCTAACCCCAAACCCCTGGGCTCAAGTGATCCAGCCCAGGGGATCCGCCTCCCATGTAGCTGGGACTACATGTGCATGCCACCTTTCCTGGTATATTTACATAATGGTTGGGCAAGGGAAGATGACTGAGTGTTGGGTAACAGTAGTCATAAAATACTGCTAGATACAGTGGGGCAACAGAGATGAGTGAGACAGATATAGTCTGGGGGAGAAAATATGTTGACTAGGGCAGGTCTTTTTCAACATTTTTGACGGGGTTAGAATTTGATGAGACATTTTCAAAATAAGTGATGTGTCTATAATACTTTAAATATACTTCTCTCTCTCTAAAAGGCAGTAAATAAAGATTTTAAAATTTGAAAGAAAATTGAATATTAATTAAACCCTTAATGGTTTATTTCTAATTAGGTCCAAACTAAATGACATGATAGATGCTATTCCAAAAAGTAAGAAGAATAAGCGATGTCAGTTGCACTCCTTAGATACACACAAACCAAAACCCTTGGGGTAAGTAGAACTGAATACCATGATGGTCTGTCATTGTTAAGATTATAAATGTTGATTATATTTAGTAAAAAGAATAAGCCCACTGCTCGTTTTAATTCACTAATTGGTTATACTCTGATATAAGTCAAAATAAATGTCTGCAGGTTCTTTAGGCCTTTTTGCATCGAAGTCTTGATATAGATTTGATTTTAAAAATTTTGTTTTCTTATATTAATGTGTTTTAGAGAAAGGAGGTGGAGATATTTGTGGAAATTTATGTAGCTAATATTAAGATTTTTCAGAGTTGTAATCATTCTTTGATCTCTATAATAGTCATAATGTATACATTATTTTTCTTTTTTTTTTTTGAGTTGGAGTCTCACTCTCACCCAGACGGGGAGCGGCCACTGCAGCCTTGACCTGCTGGGCTCCGGCGATCCTTCCGCCTCAGCCTTC